AGTTTGGGGGGGGGGATTCATTCGAGTTGTGTATTTTTCGACATCATAGGCCTAGGGTTTATTTAATAAAACAGGAACTTCCCAAAATAACTTATATGCACAATAAACAATTTCACTAGATTCTTAGATCTAATTAATTTGGTAAAGTTCACGAATTCTATTTGCTGTCGATGTGGGATTGCCAAGCCAAGGCACAGGCCTAGGGCCTACTTTTTTTTTACAGGCCAAAACAGGATCCGGGATCACGATAAATTTCGTTTTTCTAGTTTTCCCATTCCAAATTTTTAACACAAAAAAAAAGAGACGGCCGAGTGTGTTCACTCAGAATAAGTGCTCGAAACAAATGGTACCGCAAATCAGAGAATGTTCTATACATAGATTGTACAGTCCAATTTAATGCTTAGGCTTAATGTTTTTAGTCTATTCTCCTGCGGTAGCAACAGCATTTATTTACACTTTTCAGAATTTTAGCTCTTATTCGCACATTTTTCGGCGTACTTAGTGACCGGAAACACAAACATCGCGCGTGCGCATTAGGTAGTTCTTTTTTCCCCGCTTCACGTTGAAAATGGCGACCCCAGCCAAAGTCAGTAAACCCGACGGGAAAAATAATCATGACGCTGCAGATGAACAGGCCGGTAAGTCTTGAAGTTTATTTTCTTTAGCATCAACCTTCTAATGTATTTGTTTTTTGATGTAGTTTAATTTCAATGTTTCCTCGGGGTCTACGGTTGTTTGCTTGTATACTGCTCCCGACGCCGACTCGCACACATGATGATGATGGACCACGATGGGGAAGCGTGACACATAAAGAAGTCTTGGGTGTTGTCCTCTCAATTGTTAAACTATTGTGTAGTACGATGTCTTCATAATTTTATAATGTGTGTCTTCAAAATGCTTAACTCCTACTATTTCTACAGTTTGTTCAGTTTTTGGGGATAAACAAGTGGAACCGTACCGGGCGCCAATTTTCGATCATTTTTGACTCAAGAGTTAAGCCCCTTGGTGTTTTAGTTGTACAACACAGCTTTGTGTAGGTTTGCAGCGGTAGGCCTACCGTAGAGTTCTCTTTGGAAACTTCGTCTGGCCTAATCCACAATCTACTCTATAGATAAACTAGGTCTAGAATCTAGATTTAGTCATACTTAACAAATCTGGACTGTTATTTAATGAAGTTTATGTGGATTCTTCTCAGGAAGAAATTCAAAATGATCCACCATTTTCAGTAGGAGGCTCTATCACTATCATGTCTAGATCTATGCCAGACAGAAATTTTGTTTGCTGTTTTGGGCAAATGGAATTTTAAACTCAACCCCCCTTGTCCGAAAGAGCTATTTTAAAACCTGGTTGCATTTCATTTCATAGCATAAACATCAGCTTATGCCCTTCTAAGGCTTCTTATAAGGTCCTAAATTGGCCACCTCTATTTTCACCCTGGGCCCTGGGTGAGAATAGTGTAGCAATGCCAATCGGGCTTTCCCGCGAGGCGAAAATTTGGTCCCCGTTTACGGGCGATTTTGCGGACCCGGCCGAAGCGTAGGT